TTAATTGGGTTATTATTATTATTATTAACTTCTATGTGTGTATGTATGTGTTTTTTCCTTTCTCACCACATAATGGAATAACCATTTGAAATGTACTTATTTTATTTTCTCACCTGTTAATGCTAACATAATTTTTCTTGGAATTATTATTAATTTAATGCCATTATATAGACTGTCTTATTTGTATTTTGTCTTTTAGTTATATCTGTATTTCTATGTACTCGTGTCAACTTTATTATTGGCCTCTGTGCTGCTAAGTTTGCACGTAAATAAACACGATTTGAATTGAATTATTATTAGTATTTATTTTAATTGCAAATTGGTTTTTACCCGATGGCAGTGGTTTCACAATAAGACACAACACATAAATAACTTTACATACTCAATCCGTTCATCTTATAATGAATACAAAAAGAAACCCGTGGCTTGTAGTCCGCAAGCGAAATATACCGACCGAGGGACCGCCGCTTGTCGGTGAAGTTAGTGCCAACTTTAGCGGATTGAGAGTGTCACGTGGTCAGCGCAACGAATCCCCATGGACGTTAATTTCGGTTTTCTAGACCGGAGCCCCTATTTCCTTGAAATGGCTCCTCAACAATCCTCACGAGGTTGAGTGGACACCGTTCCAGACCCACTGCTTCTCTTGGGATATGTAGCCAGGGACTCTGACCACAGAGGCGGTAGAATACAATACAAATACAATTACAACTACAACAAATACAAAAATATTACTGCACAATATTGCGTGCAAGCTTCATAACTCACATTGGAAACTGAGAAAATTACTGATTGCTGCGTACCTGTCTCGTTTGCTGAGTGACTCTCAGTGTCACTGAATGACTGATTAAGGTTCCTGACCCATCTAAGGCTGAAAACCCACTGACGCGACAAGCCGCGCGCGGTATGTCGAGTGTTGTCACTCGCGGCCGTTATTTGTATTGCTTTCATGAGCCGCGCGCGGTTAAGTTTTGGAACGCGGCACACAGGCGGCAGAGCTGTCGCACTGTACTGTACAACTAACGGCCGCGCGCGACAAAGAGCGGCTAGCCGCTCGCGACTAGTCGCGTCAGTGGGTTTTCAGCCTAATTGCCTATCCGACGTTGTTAGTTAATGAATGTACAAAACGAAAATGATTGACTGGCCACTTACCGCCTTTGACTGATGTCTCAAATAATCTGTTCTACTCAGATTACTTACTTATGGAGCTGAGCCCTTCTTGAGGAGCCGCCAAATCTGCAACTACTCAAGGATTTCCCAGCATTTTATTTTAATAAATTTCTGTTGGTCCTCCCCAGCATATTCATTCTTGGTTCCGGGTCGTGCGGGACTTATGACCACATTCTTCTGTCTCGCGACTCTGGGAGTTGTGTAGTTTCCCCCTTCCGTATTCATGTCATTTCCTGTTCTCTTATTTCACCCCAACCCCTAGCATTTTATCCAAGAACCATGCATCTCTCACGTTACATGTTCTAACAATTGATGAATCGTTGAAGAAAAGTACGAGGAACTCCTTGTTTACATATGTACCGTATTGGAAAACTTTCTGTAGAGCAGGGACTCCAAGCTCCCTGGCTCTGTTCTCGAACAAACGAACAGAGCAGGAACCTCATGTTGCTCCACATTTCTGCTTCTTTCGTAGACTTTATTTTCTGTAAAAACGACTGTGCTCGCTGTTTATTTTCTACATTTATTTTTGTTTAGTATACCTAGTAGGTATAGAGACTGGCTACGGTCTGGACGATGAAGGGGTCGGAGTTCGAGAACCGGTAGATTCAAGAATTTTCACTACTTCACAACGTCCACACCGGCTCTGGGAGCCACCCAGCCTCCTATTCAATAGGTACCGGGGGCTCTTTCCTCGGAGGTAAAGCGGCCGGATCGTGATGCAAACCACTCCCCTCCAACTAATGTCGAGGTGAAGAAATCGTGGGTCTATACATCCCCTCCCCCACACTCCTTCATGGCGTAGTGCTAAATTAATTAAGCACAGAGACAACTTTACCTTTTTACCAATAAAATATTTGGAGCTAATACAGAAGGTTCCAAGCAGAATATAGAAAGCAGATTTTCTTGTTGCATGTTCTTATTCATACCGGGCTCTCTTGTTATTGCTAATTTTGTTGTGTTTGGTGAAACTCTTATTACTTAAGTAAGCTTTTAACTGTAAGATGTCCTATTTTAAATTTCCATTTAAGTAGGTCTAAAGTTAACGTTTATGTTAAAATAAGCCGTGTATTCTATTAATTAAATGCCTACATATCATCTTTAAAGTCAGTCATGATATTATAGCGTGTAGAGCCGTTACTAAGCGACGACCACGAAATAAGCAACTATACAAGAGCCGTTTCCAGGCAATAGCCAGGCAAATAATTTTCCGCAGCAACAGATACGCATGCAACAATAGAGGTACTGTTGGATTCGGTATTTTCTGTTACGTCCGTGCGAAGGGGTTATAAGGAGGACAGTTGAAGCAAGAATAGTACAGCTGGAAGGGTGCCGTCTTTCAGAGAGGACTTGAGCCCGGTAGCAGATGACTAATCATTGTTAGAAGCCGTTACCAGGCAACTACTAGTGAAGACACTGCGGGTTGTTAAAAACAACGTGAATTTGTAAAGTGTGAATAGCGATAGTTTTATAATTATTTATAGTTATGACCAGTAAGTGGTCAGTAAATATATTCACCAATCCAAACCCCTTCTATAGTCATTCTAACACGTGACGATATGAACCTTTATCTTTAATATTGGGTTCTGTAGTTTTGATGGTGGGATAAATGAGAAATGATTAATTTGGGAAGTTTTGGAAGCGCTCTGTCAGCAGGTAAAGTAAAAGGAAAGGTAAGAGTAAAGCACTACGCCATTAAAGCGTATAGGGGAGTGGACGTTTGGATCCACATTTTCTTGACCTCGTAATTAGCTGGAGGTGAGTGGCCAGCTTCATGCTCCGACCGCTTTACACCGTCCCCCCCCCCCCGTACCCCTAGGATAGGAAGTTGGGTGGGCCCCAAAGCCAGTCTTGACTGCGTGGAGAAGAGAAAACTCTTGACCCTACCGGGACCCGAACACCGACATCTCTGTCATCCAGCCCGTAGCCAGTCGCTATACCCACTACGCTATCCCGTCTCCTCTTTCTGTCAGGAGGTACTGAGGAAAATAGCGAGAAACCTCAGTTGGTGTCTTTACCGAGATTCGAAACGAACATATCCCGAATACGACCCTAGAGCGTTACCGCTGCGTAAACCCGCCAAGGAGCCCTATACAACTGTATCGATTAGTGAACCCAGAGCTAAAAATCCGTCCCGTAGTGTCAGATGGAAACGTTTTCTTTTCCTACGAGAAGAGCCAAACTTTGAGAGCGAATCACGTAAACACTGCGTGCCAGATAATTAATTCAAGTTTCTTTTGATTTCTTGCCGAGGTCTTCTCTCGGGGCATGCGCAGTTGCTCCTCCGAATACTCTCGGATGCTGGAGCGCGCAGTACAAGTCGGTACGGTGTGCGAAGAGGACGCGGGGGTGCGTGAATTCTGGCTGCGTGGAGAGACCCCATGTTTTCCGACAGGTAAGAGGCCGAACGTCCATTTCTTATTGTTTATATCCTTAACGTCGGTAGCTGACTTTCATTTACTTTATTATTTTAAAGTGACTTGATTTTATATTATTATTACACAATCATCAACACAACATATTCGTAATAAATAAACCAGTATTATTGTATTATCATTCCTTTCATCGTGTACATATACTAAGTGTTTCGATCAAGCTGGATCATCGTCAGGAAAATTTTCATGAAATATACTATTTGTTATAGAATTGTATTTCTGTGTATGTCTAACGTGATCCATATTATTGATCATAAATATGAATTTCTTTACAATACTTGTGTTTCGTTATATTTCTATATTAGTTTTGAAATGTAAAACGCTATAACTCTGCTGAAAGTTAAAGTTTAAAGTTAAGAAATTAAAAACTATTTTCTTTTCCTATTATTTATCTTGGAGTAAAAGTGTAGATTTTTTAATGCTAGTTTTAACTCCCTTGTACTGCGGCCACTTCTGGCCTATTGTACCAGCCCCAGATGATAGGTGAGGGTGATTGTGGAGCAATTGGTGGAATGAAGATTGGCAGGGGAAACAGAAGTACTCGGAGAAAACCTGCCCCAGCGCCACTTTTTCCACCACAAATCTCATTTGACCAGACCAGGGATCGGTCCCGGGCCACCGCGGTGGGAAGCCAACGACTAACCGCTTGAGCTATGGCGCGGCCCTACAAGTCTAGGTTACTGTGTCGTGGAGTAGGTGGGGGTTTCTGGGAATTGCGTTGTTTTCCATTCTTTGTGCACAAATTACATGGCTCTTTTCTGCATGCTGTGAGGTTATGTTCTGCTTTCCTCTTTAATGACGATGGTAAGTTTATCTTGTCCTGCATGGGGGTGGCACGTCGTCTTGTTATTTTGCAAAAGGGAATCAGATTCACACATAACAGGGCAGGTTCTGACCGCCTTTAGATACACGTGCTTCGACTCGGAAACCGATAAAACAATTTAAACGGAAAATTATCGTTTTTGTTTTTGCTACTGTTATTATTGTTGTTGTTGTCGGCGTCAATACCGTTGATGTTGTAAAGATTAAATATGGACTGAAATTTTAGGCTTGAATGTTACTTTTAGCTCTTGTACGACCTCACTATTCGATATTTAAACAGGCACTGAGACAACTTTCCGTTTGCAAGAGAGTACATTGGATATACTGGGTGTCCCAGGAGGAAAGGTCAATATCCTGGGAGTCACAGTAACAGACATTCTAAGCAAAAAGTGTATATGTCCACGTGTTCTATTCCGAACGGTTTCCGAGATAGAGCAATTTCACCGTACACTGTACAGACGAGCAACAAGCAATGTCCTCACACGAGTTGCAGAGTGCTTGATGTTGACGGTGAAATTTCCCGAAATGTATTATACTACGTAAACTGTACCAACTTTGTCACCTGAACAGTAAAAACCGTCATTAGAAAGTACGTAATATCTCTTTCTTATCAACAGTTTTGGAACTTTTACAGTGAAATTGCTGTATCTCGGAAACCGTTCGGAATAGGACACATTCACCTATATACTTCCTGCTTAAAGTGACTGATACCATGACCTCCAAAAATATTGACCTTTTCTCATGGGACAACCTGTGTTTCATTGTCGGACGTCAAGTAAGCTGGTTTCCTTCTTTTTTTTTTTTTGTAATACAATGAAACGTCGATAACCCGATTGGAAACACAGGTATGTTTGAACTATCCAATTGTTGGGATTACTGATTTTCAAATAAAAACATCAGAATTTTTTAGAACAATTATTTATTAAAAATTGTATATGTACATTTTATATATGTAAACAACGGCCGGAACTCGCGGATGTTCGATTACATGCCGCCCTCGGGGCAACCGGTACTGCTTAGAGAGGCAGGTCCGTTAATACACAATATCACGTTTCACAAGAACTCATTTCCACTGCAAGGAAGTAAAATAATCAGAATAAATTTGTAGCTTTTTTAGGTCTGGTTGTGTTTTTAGCGGTACTGTAAGTTTGTTCGGATTACTGGAAGATCACGTTACCGAGGTTTTGTTGTAATTAATTATAATTAGCTGGCCGCGCCATAGTTCAAGCGGTTAGTCGCTGGCTTTCCACCGCGGTGGCCCGGGACCGATCCCTGGTCTGGTCAAGTGAGATTTGTGGTGGAAGAGTGGCGCTGGGGGCGGGTTTTCTCCGAGTACTTCGGTTTCCCCTGTCAATCTTTTTTTTTTTCCTTGGCACTACAGCCCCAGTTGGCCTTGGCCTACCTCCATGAACTCCGTTCACTTCGGTTTTTCTAGATCTTACACATACGGTAGGACTGTTTGGGCGGGTGATCAGCTCGTCGCACGGCCTCTACCTGTAGACAAACACAGAAAAACGCACACAAACATCCATGCCCTGAGTGGGATTCGAACCCACGATCCCGGTTTCCGAGGGAGCGAAGGCAGTGCATGCCTTAGACCGCTCGGCTACCGTGACCGGCCCTGCCAATCTTCATTCCACCAAATTCTCCATCATCAAAATCACACGGGTCAGGCTACAATAGGCCAATCAGTGGCCGCCGTGCCGAGTGGACCCAGTTGGACTCCACCCCCCCCCATTAAGCGAATTTAAATATTTTATTCTCCTCTGTCCTTAGTCGCCTTCAGTATACGTTAAGTCCTGATATTCTCATACGTTCTGAAACACTCTCAATCTGTTCAGGTCAATATATTCTCGTCTCTTCTCAGACACCCTAAATCTGTGTTAGCTGAAGATATTCTCCCCTATTATCAGAGTCCAAAATTTTATTCTTTAGGGCAAGAGGCAGAATTTCTCTCCCCTATGATACGACAGGTGAAGTCACCTTTTAGTAGGGACAGTTTTAATATTCAGGTTACTAGCAGCTGGGAAGACAAATGACTCTAGGTTGAATGGTTGCATATGTTCCGCGAATTTAATTAGATATTCTTGACATTAACCCTTTTAAACTTAAAATTAATTTAAATAATATTTCGAAATTAATTTCGTGATTCGCGTAAAGCAGGCTGACTATCTCTTAACAAAGGCCAATTGCAGTATCTTGTAAGGGGCAACAGATTCCTGTCATTTCTGAGAATCAGATGAGACGCATAAATATATTTTTCGAAAAAATGCAGAATTAGTTTTCAATGATAAAGCAGGTGGTATATATGGTGACCATTTTGCTTCGAAGGACTAAATACTCCCATGTGTGTGTCAGATTGATTCCAATGTTACGGAATATTGTAGATCCATCTAGCGGTAACTCTCTGGACTTGTAATCGGGAGGTTTTTGGTTCGAGTCTGGACCAGCACACTAGGCACATTTATTGCGATTTTCTGTTCATGCAGGCATGTGCTGGGAATGATACCCAAATTTAGGATGAGATTAACAGGGTATGTAGCACGCATGGAAGAGAATGGAGGTGTAGACAAGATTTTAGTAGGAAAACCTGAAGGAAGAAGACTATTTGGAAGACCTACGCGTAGATGGTAGGATGTTATTAAAGCGTATATTACAGAAACAGATTGGTAGTTTGTTATCTGGATTAATCTGGCTAAGGATGGGGATCTGTGGTGGACTCCTGTGAACAAGGTAACGTTCTTTCGTGTTCCTTGAAATGTTGGGAATTTCTTCAATAGCTGAGCAACCATTAGTTTCTATAGGACTCAGCACCATGGAGTTAGTCACAATATTTAGACGCGATGCAGGTCAGGAAGTTTGCGGTGTAAGTGCATAACGCGGATGTCCAGTAATGTAATTCTCCGTCCCAGTATTATAAGGGTAAACAACAAGGAGGATGTGACATAGGCGAGGTATATGGACCTCATTGTGGAGATCATAAAGTGAAAGGTAAACATAAAGATCTCGCTGTGCTTAATTAAGCACCACGCCATGGAAATATATGGGGGAATGAAAGTAAGGGATTCATGCATCCGTAACCTCGGAACTGTATGAAGGATAGGGAACAGCTTCGCCCCACAGCTGCCTTAGCCCAGATGTTCATTGGATAGGAGGCTTTGTGGGCCCCAAAAGAAGTCTGGGCGCTGTGACGGAAAGAAATATTTCCAACCCTGACAGGAATTTAAACCTGATATATCCTGTTACGCTCTCTGTACCCTGGTCACTCTACTAACATATAAAATTGAAATAAATTCTGAAGGAAACAGAGAATTTGGGCGACCTAAATGTAGATGTTACATGGGAAGTTTTACTGCAATTGATATTGGATGAGGTTCTCATGGTTGTGACTGAAAATTATGGTGTTCTGAATTGTAATGTCATGTAATTCGGAAAGATTTGGACATTTCGAGACCTTCAGGGTGTAAGAGTAGGCCAAGAAAGAAACAATGTGACACACTAATATTAACTTGTTCCTTGAACCCTTAAAATTAAGACAATATATACTTCCGAAACGTCGGGATTTTTGCAGGCTATAAAATGTTAAAACCAGAAGGCCACGCTTTACTAAAATAGGGTGTGAAAATATGGATTGGATTAAATTGGCTCTTATGTATACGCTAATAAATATTGGACTGACAGAACGGGAATTTCTTAGCCATGTGAGCGACTGTTAGTTTCTCGAGAAGGTCTCTCTCTCTTCCATGCATTTGGATATTTCTGGATTCGTAGGCTGATCCGAACTTAACAGAGGCATATCCGTTAATAAATTTCTCGATTCTATGTTCAGCCAAGTGCCTGGTCAGAGATGAAGCGCCCAGCTTAAATACCGATGTTGTGATACGGTGCTGCGTGATAAGGGCTACAGTCTCAAGCGGTTGGTAGCTGGCTTCCCACCGCGGCGGCCCGGGTTCGATCCCGGGTCTGGTCAAGTGGGATTTGTGGTGGACAAAGTGGCGCTGGGGCGGGGTTTCTCCGAGTACTTCGGTTTCCCCTGCCAATCTTCATTCCACCAAATTTTCCATCATCATAATCACCCGGGGCAGGCTACAATAGGCCAATCAGTGGCCGCCGTGCCGAGTGGACCCAGTTGGACTCC